TGGATAATAAATTATAAAATTTTGCCACCAATTTTAAGTAGATATATGTCTAGGTAAACCTGCAAAAATTACAGAATTTCATTGGAAATTTTCCAAGATATATCGAATTTTATACATTGGCGTATTTTGAAATTTGTCAAAATTTTTAGAAGCAATAACGACGCCAAATGTGATTTACTGTTAAAAATTACCTAAAAGAATGAACGATAAACCTTTTTTTCGCCCGTGCACAGCGAAAGCGAAAAGAAAGCAGGTTACCATACATTAAGAATTTCGCCAAGGGGATTATTCAAGGGAGAAAATGTGCGCTAAAGTAAACTTTTGAATTTCTTATTAAGTTCCCCCACTAAATTTTAGAAAATTTTATATTTAGGCATATCTTTAGCAGAAACTAAATATGAAAAAACCTCGGTATGTTATTTCAGAAAATGTTTCATTTAGTGTCAAAATACCTATATTAGAACAATTCTGCATATAAATCTAATATATGTCCTAATTTATGTTTTTAAGGCATGAAAAAATCAGTTAAATTTCGTCAATTCGCTCAGTAGAATGGGAAATGTAGAACTATCCTATTTTTTTTTTTTTGTTTGTTTTTTGTTTTTGGTGTGCAGAGTGTACACACAGTATATCGAACAGTTAAGTTCACAGTAAGTTTTGAAATCGCTGACGCTGCAGCAGATACTGGAGTGTAATATCGTTGCATTATGTACAAAGATTTTGAAAATGATGCAAATATTATTGAATTATTATTTAAATTCCGTCTATTAATAAAAAATACAGCTGCGTTTTAAAACAAGCGATTTCTTGAAACACTATTTTTTAATACACCACGCAGCGAATAAAAAAATCTAAAGTTAGTCGGTTAGAAAGACCGACTAACTTTAGATAGAAAGAGATAAAAAAAATCTCTCAAAAGACGTATCATTCAGAAACAGAAGCGTGACAAAATTCGATTTACGTAACATGACCTCTTTTCATTGAAACGACTGCGCTGTTAAAAATAATAAATAAAAATAAGGAAAATGCTCAAAAAGTATCACCCAGGGATTTCTCCAGTTTTTTTCCCTTGGTTTATTTTTCAATTTATTTTATTTTACTGTAGATTTTTTAAGGGACGTCTTAAGTCGCACGAGTCTCAAAGAGTTAGCGAGATTTAAGACGACGATCAATAAGTCCCATTCTAAAAGGGCCCAGAGTTTCTTCTAATCTCAGCTCTGAACGAAAGGCATATCTCTCACACTTCCGTAATGACGACTTTTCGCCTCCAAGTTTCCATTTCTGTTTTAAGTTTGATTTTTTTTTCTTTTTCCATTTTCATTTTTCTTTTGTAGTCCATAAAGCCATGACATTTCTTGCAAACTTTCCTGGAATTGAAAGAGGGAGATGAATTTAGTGAAAGTAAAGTTTACGCAACTGATTTTTCCAAAAATAATTCTATTACAAACAATTCTTAGCTAAATTCTTAAGAAGGTACAAAAGTAACACATTTTGCAGAATTAAATGCCGCTATTTGTATCATTCTCCCACGTAAACAAAAAAAGTCATGTATTTTTAATTGCATCAGGCACTCTCGCAATTTGAATATCCAATAATATTTGTTATAACTTAGAAGCCTCAAAGTTAAATTAGAATGCGTTCTAATTTCTAGGCCAAAATGTAGTAATTCTAGGCGAAACTTTAGTATTTTATTACTATTAGACAGCGAAATGAACTAAAGATTGAACAGAGGAGGATTAACTGGTTTCTGTCTAAAAATGTTAAACTTGTGTTTTGCGAAACAATGGGATGAACTTTCCCAAATAATGACAGTGAAATAAGAGTACTGCAAAATTAGCATAATCTCTTAATTAAACTGCTTGAAAATACAGATAAATTCTTATGCTACTTATTGGTGTGGGATATTTTCTGTCCAGCGTTTTTACTTGCACCGGGTTAACTAGGGTTTTAAATTAAGGATAGACGTCATTCACCTCCATTAATCAAAAATAATGTACTCCCATCAATCAGGAATTTACTGTACAAGAAATTAAAATTCAAAAGCAGAAAACAGTTAGATACCCAATTTTCTTTTTAAGTTTTTCAAAGTTTAATTAATGAGATTTTCGTCCCACTTATGCATTTTATTTTGATTAAAAATTGTATCTGAAAAAAAATTAAAAAAAGTATTGCAAATACAATTTTGAATCAAACTGTCAGAAAAAGTATGCAGAGAAACTGAACAACAACAGCAGGAGATTTTTTTCTTACTAAAATTTTACAAGAAAATAAAATTTAAATTTACTCCATTAGCAGTGTACATAAAAAAAAGTTGGAATGATATACAACCTATAAATTTCTTTAAGGTAAAGAATTTTTTATCTGAAAACTCAAATAAGAGAAGGAATTTTAGCAGGATCTATAACGTAATTTAGAAAAATGTGAATACTGCACAAATTTCCTTGACTACACTTTTATTAACTGAGCGCTTACTCTAGTCCAAGTCGTCAGGATAAGTCATTAAAGTAAAAATTTTATTCTTTTCTAACATTTCTATCTTTTTTACCTTTACTTACTTGCATTATTTTAATGCTTTCCAAAAATAAAATTAAAAAAAATATTACTATAAGTTCACTTTTGGGAGATTTTATACTTTTCATAGCCAGACTGTATCGCCCAACAGCTCCAAACAAGTAAACATTAGCGACACTTTTTCCTTTTCATTTAGTGTCCTTTTGTCTTTTGTTCTTCCAATAGTATGCTCAAAATTTTTCTCCTCAGTTGAGTATTAGTTTTGTAAATTATTACATTTTAATTTTAATTTTAGTAAATATCATATATATATACATGATACATTTCTTTATTAGGCATTGAATTTATTTCATTTAATTTGTTTCTGTATATTTTTTTCCATGAAAGGAAGACAACTGCGTAGAGGAAGCATTCGTAAGTTTGTAGTGAACTATTGTAATTAAATAATTTAAGCTGGTTCATCAGTTAATCTGGATGAACAGAAACACATCAGTTTTCGTAGGAAGCGTGATTCAGTTGAATTTGATCTACCTCTTGATAATGATGAACAAGATTTTAATTCTACTTCCTTTTCTTTTTTGATGTACTTTTATGTATTTCTCTTGTTTTCGGGATTTCGTATCGTATAAAAACACAGAGCTAATTTTTGTTAACATTTTAAATGAGAAATTTCGGGGTTTTACTGGTTATAAATTTCATTTCTTTCATGTCATTTTGGATTTGGTTCTAAATTGCTTATTGTTTTGTCTGCAATTAATATATATATATATATATATATATACAGAGAGAGAGAGAGTTTGAGTATATATATATACATATTTAAAATACATATATATAAATACATATTTAAAATACAAAAATTCAAAAATGCAAATAGGATAAGCAAATGCTTGTGCTTCTGCAATAAAGTATCTCAAAAATAAAGTACGAGTAAATTAAATCATTTTTGTTTTGCTACCAAGTACAAAACTTTTCCATTTTATGCCAGCTTTTTTTATCTTTGAACTATTCAGGAAATAAAAACAATGTTGTCATATATAAAGACCTTATCTAAAAATGACCTAACATACATTCAAGCAAACAAGTAACAGTTTAGAGCAGTGTTTCTCAGCCTTTTAGTATTCACGGCCCAATTTTCAATCATAATTTTCATCGCGCCCCACTCCCCACTGCATACAATAAAATGTATACAATAATAATATATTGAGTATTTTGGCGCTAAACCTACACTACAACCTTAATTTTAAACTTTACAAATTACCAAGAATACGGAAATTTATTGACATTTTGCAGCACCGATCCTCAGCATTGAAAAAACAAGAATCCTATTCCCTTTTTATTGCTCTTGCGTCCCGCCATGTCGGGCATTCTCACGGTTTCGTGAGAAGTTTCGATTTGTCTGGAATTTGTCTGGTCAGCATAAAGGTTAAGTTAGGAGCGTGCGCAGATGTGAACAAATGTTTTCTCATAGGGAGAAGGAGAAAGTTCTATGACGCCAATTTTAATTCCAGACAATCTCATTCGAGTCGATCCTTCTATCGCTAATGAATCTATTCTGAATGTGCATGTTATATATATTTTCGTGTAATTGCAATTCACCGTATTAAATATTCACGGCAGCAGACTTATGCAGAATCGTGAATAAATTTTTAAGCGGGCGTAAGCGAGCATTAGACGATAGACAAGCATCAAGAAGTACACAGACGAGCATGGTTTTCGAAAATAAAATCAAGAAAATATTCTCAAGAATACTTAAATTTTGGGTTCACTAGTACTGAAGTAAATGAAGAAGAAGGCCCCTGTGTATCATTTGCCCAAAAATGTTGGCGGCAGACAGCATGAAACCTAATAAACTTAAACGACATTTGGAAACGCTTCATAGTGAGTACATAAACAAACCCAGAAAATTCTTCGAATTAAAATTTCATATGAAAAGCAAAAATCATTGTTTAAAAAAACTTTGTCTGTGAATTAAAAAACTTTAATTGCCTCTTATAAAGTTTCATATAAAATAGCCAGATGTAAAAAGCCTCACACCATTGGTGAAGAGCTTATTTTGCCAGCCGCAATTGAGATTGTAGAAATTATGTTTGGAGATAATTTTGCAAAACAATTGCAGTCTATACCTCTTTCAAATGATACTGCTGCCCGTCGAATTGCTGATATAAGCTGAAGATGTAGAGTGTCAGCTTTTGTCGAAGTTACGTGACTAATTGTTTTCAATACAACTCGATGAGGCAACAGATAGTAATAAAGATGCTCATTTCATTGCCTATGTTAGATTTTGTGATGATTTGTCAGTAGTAGAAGAACTACTTTTCTGCAAACCAAAAGAACTCAAAGCAACAGCACTCGCATTATTTGCTATCTTAAATGATTTTATGAATGAGAGAATGGAAAAATTGCGTCGGAATATGCACCGATGGTGCTCGTTCTATGTCCGGAAGATTCCAAAGTATTAAAGCACTTGTGAAACAAAAATCGCCACAATGCGTCTGGACACATTGCATGATAACAGAGAAGCTTTGGCTTCCAAAGAAATGAGTCCTGGTTTGAATATTGTGTTAACTACGGTTGTAACTGTAGTAAATTATATAAAAATGAGACCTCTGAAATCAAGAATCTTTTCCGCACTTTGTAAAGACATGGGTGCAGTACATTCAGCGTTATTATTTTATTGCGAGGAAAGATGGTTATCACGAGGGAAATTTTTGCAACGTGTTTATGAATTAAGAGAAGAAATCGGCGTTTTCCTAGAAGAGGAAAACAGACCGGAAGCTGAGAATTTTCGCGATAGTTTATTTGTGATGAAATTGAGCTACATGATCGACATATTCGAGAAATTAAATAACTTGAATCTTCAACTGCAAGGAGCAAATACACATATAAGGATACGAGTGATAAAGTTAATGCTTTTTGTAGGAAATTGGAATTGTGGAGCAGAAATTTAAAGCAACAAAACTTAACAATGTTTGCAAATTTAAAATTATTGTATTAAAACTTACAAGGCTGAAGAACAACATGTAAAAGTTGTTTTTGTAACCATTGAAAATCATTTAGCAATACTAGCAAAGAATTTTAAAAAGTACTTTCTTGCTGACGACAAACTGATATCAAGTTACAAGTGGGTGAGGGATCCATTTCAAAATACTCCCGAAGGACTCTCAATTGAAGAGGAAGAAACATTCACAGACTTCACGGCAAGCGACGAAACCAAAAGACAATTTAGTAATAAAGCACACTTTGAATTTTGGGCAGGTGTAGATGATGAGGTTTCTGCACTAAAAACAAGGGCATTCGCATTCTACTACCATTTTCAACATCTTACCTTTGTGAAACTGGATTTTCTGCGGTGGCTTCTTTAAAGACAAAATATAGATCTCAGCTAAATATAGAAAAAGAACTGAGAGTGTCTTTTTCTAATATTAAACCCTCCTTCGAAAACATTGCTTTGCAAGACAGGCGCAAGGAAGTCACTAATAATTATTAAATTTGTTTTTAATTTAGTAAGTTGTTTTAATTTAATAAGTTAATTATTAAATATGTCGAAATGTATTTTGTTTTGTATGTGTGTTCTTTCCTTTCAGTCACTTAATCAATTTTTTAAATAACATTTTCTCTTGGATATGCTCGCGCCCCCCATTAGTGTGCTCGCGCCAGGTTAAAAATCACTGGTTTAGAGAACATTGAATTTCTTTGTAAACTGAAAAATTACTGCTTCAGTTCTGATATAGAAATATCAAGTAAATAGATTTTCTGTTTAATTTCTTGCTGTTTCTGTTTTCCTCACCAATTACCTAGCTACGCAGATGACCTCCGGACGGGAAAAAAGGGTGTGCGTGTGCGTGTGCGTGTGTGATGATGGCAAAACCTCGAGTGCTATCTGCCTAAGAGGAGGGATGCCTTCGTGGAGGACTTTCTAAGTCCTCCACGAAGCTCCACAATTCCAATTTCCTACAAAAAGCATTAACTTTATCACTCGTATCCATTATATGTGTATTTGCTCCTTGCAGTTGAAGATTCAAGTTATTTAATTTCTCGAATATGTCGATCATGTAGCTCAATTTCATCACAAATAAACTATCGCGAAAATCTCAGCTTCCGGTCTGTTTTCCTCTTCTAGGAAAACGCCGATTTCTTCTCTTAATTCATAAACACGTTTGCAAAAATTTCCTCGTGATAACCATCTTTCTCGCAATAAAATAATAACGCTGAATGTACTGCACCCATGTCTTTACAAAGTGGGAAAAGATTCTTGATTCAGAGGTCTCATTTTTATATAATTTACTACAGTTACAACCGTAGTTAACACAATTCAAACCAGGACTCATTTCTTTGGAAGCCAAAGCTTCTCTGTGTATCAGCAATTGTGTCCAGACGCTTGTGGCGATTTTTGTATACATTACACATGGGGAAAACCACGAAAACGCCCATGCAGCCAGCCCGTTCGGGAAAAAAAGGAAGACAGCTAAGTTAAGAAAGGGCTATAAAATGAAAGCATTCAACAAGCATTAAAATCAAAAACAGCTCAACAGACTGATCAAAGTCTTTGATGGTAAATCACACATGTATGTAAAAAAAAACAATGATCCCAGATGAATTTTGAGTGGAAGAAGAATTTTACGACTTCATTTTAAGATATTAGAGGCACATATTGTGTCTACAACAATTGAAAACGATTAATACTAAAGCGAATAAGGTATTAAATGTTCTGGAATGGTATAGAATAGAGTAATATTACATTGCTGGCCATTAAAAGTGCAGCACTTAGCCAGACCAGAGCTATGGAATCCATATGTACGAGCATTATAAAAATAAGAATAGAGTAATAAAGTTAACCAAGAGTTATAACCAATTATAACTCATTTCAGCTTGTCGAACATAAAGCAATCAGTACTTAGCTCACTGGCTACACATTTCTGTATAAAGCAGAATAGATGCCGATCTCTTCCGTTATAAATCACGGATGCGATTTCGAGGTTTAGCTACCATTTAGATTTTAAATGGCTGGAGATGCTTTGTAGATTTCTATTAAAACAATGTTGTCTATATCATCAGTTCTTGGAGTTCTGTTTTTATCAGTAGAAATTTTATGCATTATTTCAAAATCAATTAATAGCTGAATCCTGAAAGGGGGCACATTGTTAATTATACTTCTCCTCTTAGACGAGATTGTGCCATTATAACATGTCGTTCCACGAAATATCAGGTTAAAAGATTGTACCCAGAGTAATTTCTGTTGTTGGTAGTGTGATGGAAACAGATCGGTGATGAAAACTGCTGGAAGTGTAGGGAGGTCTCCTACAACGCGATATCTTTGAAACGCGTTTTCTCACCAGCACTGGGGACACATTGCTAATTATAATTCTTCTCTTAGACGAGATTGTGCCCATAGTAACATGTCGTTCAAGGAATTATCAGGTTAGAAAATTGTATCCAGAATAATTTCTGTAGTTGGTTGGTTGGCGGAAACGGATCGATGATGAAAACTGCTGGAAGTGTAGATAGGTCTCCTACAACGCGTTTTCGACGGTAAGAAAAACACGCAATATTTTATACATAACAAGGAATATAATATAAACGTGGTACTTTTACAACGCGTATCACACATCATAGCGTCTTTTAAATCATATTATATCCGTAAATCAATTGAATTAATCTTGTCTACAAATATTAGAGTCAATTAAGTTTTGAAACAATTTTCAATTTTAAATTACGCAGAAATTATCGGCTGATCCCTAATAGAAATGTGCCAATAGATTCTAAATACTTCCAGGAAAGCGTGATTACCCGAAATGGTCAGTTAAGAAAATGTTGTTGAGCCAATTTAGCGTGTATATAGCAACATAGTAAGCCTTGCACGCGAAATAGTAAACGTTAGATTCACTAAAGTAACTGTTGATGGTATTCTAGAATTATAAAATTGAAATAAACGAAACAGATTTGGTCACATTGTATCCGAAACATTACCGATTGAAGATAATTCTGAAGATCCTTTCAATGAAGAAACTAAAGACTTCACACTGAAAGGCATAGAAAAGTGCTTGAACGTAGGGAAACAGATAGAATCTTGCGTTTTAGAGAACGTTTTTCTACCAGAGAGAGCGTAAATATTTAAAAGAACTCTTCAGAATTTCTTATCTGTTTATTAAGAAATTTATAAAGATTTGCAAAACAAGAGCAAAGAGTCTCTAATGACAGAATTTTTAAAACCTAAATCTACCGAAACTGCAGTGAAACTTATCGATGAAATAGGTTCAGATCTTGAAATAAGGCCCGTCAAATATTCTGGAAACAACTATATTAAGTGACGCTAAGGAATAAATTTTTGAACATAGCATTATGTTTCTTTTTGATTTTGACTTGAAATTATAATGTTTTTAGTTTTTATATGATGTTGAATTTTATTAAAGTTTTTATGAGATGTTTTTATGTATATAAATAAAAAAAGATGAAAATGATACACCATAAAAAGCAGTTTCTCTCTTCTTAGAATCGAATCCCAGTTTTTGGATTAAGTTGGTGTCTCCTATATCGCGAATTCTCAGAAACCTGTGCTTTCAAGGAACATGTCTACTGCGTTGTAGGTGGTTTACTACTGCCTGGTATTGCAGCACAAACCATTGCTGAAAACAAACCATTGCTGAAAATGATATCGGTAGCTAACTGGAAGGCAGTACTAAATTTTGTCATAGTTTCGATTCAAAATGAATTCCAAGAGTTTTTTAGCCTGAGTATTATCCTTTTTTTACATGCCCTAGTCTGTTTAAATTTTATTCAATATGCAGTGCTCTTATTTGTATCCTTCCATTTTCAAAATCCATATTTATTTGCTTTTAATCGTTTTCTTTGAGTGGTTAATTTGTTATTCTACCATTTCTGTTGCCGTTGAAAAGGAATATTTTTAAGTTTGCATGTGCGACATTCTTTTATTATGATTGACATCGGAAGTTATTATGAATGACATCGGAAAAAAAGATTTGAAGCTTGTCTAGTTTCTGCTGAACTAAGGTTACTTTAGATTGTTTGAATGTGCAAAAGCACTCGTGCGCTTTACCACATTCAAATTACTCAGTGTTTCATATTTGAGGTTGTTTTGGAAATAGTGTTTGAATGTGCTCATTTTTGTTCTATTGTATATTATCGTATGTAAATATATGTCATTTTTATTTTTAATATTTTCTATCTCTATCTTTAATTATTTATTAATTTTTGCTTTTGCGTCTTATCTCACTAGTCTGATAATAACATCAGAAGACGCCCAAGAAATTCATTGCAGCAAGGAGTTCAAGATTGAGCCTGTCGTTTGCATCATACAGATGACAGTAAGACTTTGCTCAGTTCCACCCTCAGTTTTGATGGAGAGCACCATGGGGGGGGAACGGGTTCGAGGGTTCCCACCCCTCTTCTCCTACCACTAACCTCTCGCGAGGACTTTCGACTCGCTGCGTATTTAGAGTGTTCCCATGTGGCACAGACACTATAGATCTACATTCATGCTCCAACGAGGGCCCTTCATTACGGCAGTCAGCGTCGTTAATCACGATCCCATTGTGCGGATTATTCATTGTTTTATTTATTTGCACAAGTGATTCACTGCAACGCAAAGTTACATTAGTAGTTCTTGCTACGACCCGCTTGCTATAATATTGCAGTTATACCTTCCTCATTTTGAATTCCTTTAACTTAAGTCCACATGACACCTGCAACTTTATTTAAAGATTTTGTTCTTGTGTCTGTTCCTCTTCCCGTTACCTTGCTACAAGTTAGGGGGAAGAATATTAACTGATTACATCTCGTTGATCGAGCATTTAGTGCAACCTCTAAAAACGTTTCTCAGGCGCAGATGAAAAAAAAATATTTGAATCAAGAAATTAAAGTTTATCCACGTGTATTTCGCAAGCAGTAATATTTGTAACCTTGACGTCTAATTGCACGGAATATTAAAATT